GTAGCAGGGCAAGCTGCAGCACAGGGCTCGTAGTGGCTGTTGGCTGGACAAGCTAGTGCTGTGTAATGTAAAAGATTAATCCAGAAGTTTATATTTTAAATATTAAAGTATTTGGAGTTATTAAATTGCATATTCTGTTTTGTTCTTCAGTCTTTAGGACACCTTGGAATCCTGTGGCAATGCAATCCATGCCTTTTTGCTTAACTGCCCTTTAGCATATTTTATGGCTCCTAACAATTTCTCTGTATGAGAATTTCCTATAAGATCTTGTATGCTGGTCATTGTTTGCCTTTTTTTCCAGCTGATGATATCTGCGTCCTGTTATTTGTCCTTGTCATGTACCCTGTTTAGCCTATAGTTCTGATAATTCTAATCATATCATAGCTTCTTGATTCATATTTTTTCACTCACTGATGAACTTTAATTTTTGATAAATAATCGTGATATACATGCATCCTATACTGTTTTTAGACCTTGCTACTCGTCACAAGTTAAAATTAAAACTAATTCGAACTAATTCTTCTAATCTTAGTCTTCAGTCTCTTTTCAGTTTCTGTACACTTACTGCATGTAGTTTAGTTTTTAATGACATGCCCTCACTCTAATTTTGTCTTCTTCCTTAATTACATTGTATTTTTCCCTGTCTTAATTAAAACTGACCCAGAAATAAGTTACTGAGGCTGGCAGAGGACAAAGGCATAGTTTGAAATAGGAGCAGGGCAAGCAGAAGAGATCCCACAAGTTCTGCAGCAGAAAGAACAGCTACAGAGATGGGTTATTCCTGCTTAGAAACCACAGAATTTATGTAGGAGAAAACCTCAATAATATCCTTAATAAAATGCTCCAGCAAGAGATTACAATGGATTGTGAAACAAATGTTCAGAGTAAATTTAGCATCTTTCTTCAGTCTCCTCATCTCCCTCAGGGCAGAGGGCACACAGGCCACAGCAGAATATACTGATTCCTAGATTATCAAGCTCAGTTCATCAAGCATTTTTCTGCCTCGTCCTGCTCTTTTTACACTGGTATAAATTCTGAATTTCAGACATCTTCACTTTTCGGTCTCAGGTCTATTCTTCCCAACAGTTTTGATTTATCATTCCTGCAGAAGCAACAGCTGGCCCCCTGACTGGCTGCCTAGTCCATGTTTCTTCTACTTAGCCAGCTTCAGCATGTACTTCCACTTTTCCATAGCCTCATAAGCACGTTCTCATTTTCCTTTCTAGAACCTACTTTCCTTCTGAAAATCCAGGGCCTCTCTTTTACTCCATTCAGCATTTCTCTCCAGTTCTTAATCAAAGCACCTTTCTCATTGCCCCAGACTGCCTAGATTCCTTATCCACATATGCAGCTCTGCCCTCCATCTGCTCTGACTCGTATCCCTTCTGTGGTCACAAATCTGATATCTATCTTCATGTGCTTCTGCTGGAGTTGCTGCAAGAGGAGAAGGCATAACTTCCTGTCTGATGCCTGGTGCCTGGTCACCATGCAAGGTAGAGAGGCTAAGAGAATAGAATAAGGTAGCTCAGCATCTCTACGGGGAGCGTGAGTGAGGCTCTCACATATCTACTAAACATGTGCAAAATGAGATTTTTTTTCCTCAAAGACACTAAAGTTCAAGCACAGCTTCCTCAGGAGGTAAAAAGCCCTCAAAGTCAAATGTTTCTGACATACTTAATACCTCTGAACAAAAATATAGGAACAGGAGTAGAATTCAAAAGAAAATCTCCCTATTTTGGTCATTCTTTCGAAAGAACTCAAGGACTCAAGCTGAGAACTACACATGGTCCTGAAATCTTTAGCCTGATCAGTCAAGATTCACAGTGTTACAGGAATTTAAAACAGTTTCTTGTTCTTGCTCTCTCTTCAGGCAGCCCTAATTATATCCTCCTGACAAATGGTAATTTCCAGTAATCTCTGGTACGTACGGCAGAAGGTTGCATTTCTCCATGGTGTCAGCTGGACTCCCGCAGCTTGGCACATATCTGCATAAGCCTGCAGGTTTTGACAGAGGGCTTCGCTGCTCAAATGAAGCTCACAGAGATCATACTGGCAGTCTTCAAAATTGCTCTGTGGATCGACTACTGAGTGACAGTTCTGGAACGGACCACTGGGATCAGTGATCAGACCACAGTATTCATTGCTTTGGATGATATGTTTTTCATCAGCAGTGCAATTTGGGGTATGGCCATCATCTGGCAAGCACCTAGTGTGGAAAAAATAGATGTGGAAAATGTCACTGGTGAACTTTGCATACAATTGCACTCAAGATACTTTTCAAATCCCAACTAATAAAACTACCGGCACAGACTAAGGATGACTTTTTAAATCTCTGCATTTCAAATGGGATAGGAATTCAGATTTTAGAATGATCTCAACATTACAACTTTTGTAATGCCTAAGAAACTTCAACATTAATTTTGGTTTTAAGTCTAAAAATAATCTTTGCACGAATAAGACAACTGGGAAGGGCAAACAGAAAGTAAAAGCATTCAAAGTTAAACATCTATCATCATGAAATGACATATTGTATAACTATAAAGTAAACAGTGAAGTATCTCAGAAGAGTTCAAGCAGGATCATTAATATGCTACAACAATTGCTGGAATCCTAGTGGGCAATTGCAGATGTATTCAATTTTTCATTTTTTAAGTACACTTGAATTTGTTACAAGTTTTTTCCCAGATATGTGAAAGGACTATACAGGCAAGAATATATTTTAGTCCATATTCTTGGACATTTTGGACATGACATACCACAGCTGCTTAAAATACTGCTTGTTACATAACTCCCAGTTAAGGCCAAACATCTTGATTGGAGTCCTACCTTGAGTCATTGTTAACTTGCCAACTGTTTCCAAGGCTGGACGAGTCTGTTTCCATCCCTCCATCTGGGTTAAGAAAGTCATCTTCTTTGTCCCCATTATAATTTCCACATATCCCACAGACTTTCGATTCATAGGTACTGGGAAGAGTGATTTCTGCTCTATGATTTCCATCAAACTTGACCTTCAGCCCAAAGTCAGTAGTAACCACAACATATTGACCACTGAGGGAAATGCTGACACTATTGCCCAAGGTCAGAGGGAGTACCTGGCTGATTCCATCCACCTACAAGGACAGAGAAGGACAATCATTATGATCACTTTAAAATATCTATTTTTAATGGTGATTTTCTTAGACCATGCTCCTATACAGAGCATAGGGCTTGTACAGTGAGCCTGTACTAGCATTAAGAGCACACAATATTGTGTTTCTGGGTTTTTCTTAGGTCTTACATAACATGAATGCTATACATGAACAAAGATCTTGGGCCTCAAGACTTTAGTAAAACATCTACTTATCTTCCAGGTCTCAGCTGTGGTCAAGGTAAGCTTGGTGAACTAGACCCAGCCGGAAAAAGTCCAAAAATTATCAAAAATTATCTTTCTGCTTACAGGCTTACTGGCTCAAACAAGAGCATGGCATAAGATTTAAAAGATGCAGCTAGAATGGAATCTTAGAAAATTTTCAGGATTGGACACATTTTGAAAACATTTTTTTTTTTTTTTTTAATTTTCCTTTTTTTCCTCTTTTTTCTTTCTCTTTAATTTTCACATGTGAAATGCCAGCAATAGGAAGGAAGTGTTCAAATAAAATTTTCAATTTATTTTAAATTCCATAAAACTAACATATTCTTTGAATATATGTTCTTATTACATAATTAATATATATTTTTTAACTAAGAAACATACATAACGAAAACAGTAAGTACAATGAAGAGATGGAAAAGATAAACTTTTGGAGAAATGCAGATATCTAGTTCACTGTGCATCTAAGTTGTAAAAAGTCTCTGTGTATATTTAAATCCTTATCTCCTGTCCTATTTTCTTTATAAGAAAAATGATAATGAAGTAAGGTTTTATTCAATTTATTGTGGATTTCTATTCAATTATTGTGGATTTTAAATCAAACTTGTATCTGCTACCTTGGCCCTTCCAATGGTCTTCATGGAAATAAGTTATAAAGAAGACTTAAAATAGAGCAGCTGGTCCAGTGACACAATCAGAGTGATGTGAGTTATCAGGCAGTCTTTCTGGGGCTCTCATCTGGCTGTGCTTTATGGCAGGTGCCAGGTACTAAGTAAAATTAGCAGTGATGCAGAACAACTAGAAGTCAGAGGTAGGCACGCAGCTTTACAGTCTGGGAAATATCCACCAGCACAAGCTTTGTTAATGGAAGGCCTTTTGTATTCCCTGCTGCAAACAAAATTCAGGAATGGAGGGCAATCCCAACTGCTAGCAACACAGCACAACATTTTGTTTTTTCTTCCTGTTCTGCAATCTCGATGATTGCCTTAAGGAACCCATAGTACTACTGTTCCCAAATATTTGACTGTCTTCTAAATATTGCTTTATGCTAGCCTAGAAATTTGCAGCCACTGTACTACAGTTTCTTCAAAGTCTGATTTACTGCAGTAGATTGTGGGATCTAGCCTTACCTTAACAACTCTGTTTTGACCCAGATTGATCCTGTAGCCATAAACATCGATGTCCACAGATTGGACATAGGACACACGAGTGTTGCTTCCCCTGTATTCGTTGGCAGCTTCCACGTTGAAGTAGGGCAGTGAGCTGTTGCTCTCACACAGCTTGGAGAGCGTGTAGGTGCAGTTGCCCATGAAGTCATGACTCTGCTTATCAAAAGTTAAATAATGAGGATCTCCATGTATAGTGCAAGTTGCTTCTGGAGATAGGAAAACAGAGTATGTTTCGTTAACATCCAGAAAAGCCAGCTCATACCTCCCTTGTGCTGTGAGAAAATATAGATGTCCCCATTTCATAGGTTACATATGAAAGAACTGAAACAGCAAAGACAGATTTTTATGGCCTGAGGCAGTGCCACAGAAACACACTCAGATAAATTAACTCAAGTAACACTGGTAGAATGCACAGCTGCCCTCCTCTAAATCACTGACTATCACATGTGATTTATTAAAATTACCTGTCACAGCAGGTGGCATAGGTACTGTTGGTGTAGGTGTTGGTGGTGCAGGGGTGCTGACTGCATCTGTCAGTAGGGAAGATAAGGTAACAATATATAACATTACATAACATTACATATTAAACACTGCATACAAACTGACATACACAAGTTTCAACTTACTCCTCACCAGCTTTAAGTTAGAAGACTTACACTGAAGAAAATTGAACTGTCTATATTTAAAAATTAGGACATTTGGCCTTTTTGAGTTCTTAGGGAAGCTCTGACTACTAACTTGGTGACAGTGACTGAGCTTGTCCTTGCATGCTTCCCTGAAACTGGAAATGTATTTACAATTGTATCTGTGATTCTCTATGCTTTGTATGTTAAAGCATGAAGGTCATGCTCTCTGCAAGTGTTGGCAGGTCTGGAAATGAGCAGCCTGCCAGCAGATGCCATGTAACAGTAAAAAATTACTCTCAGGGCACTGGTGGTTTCTAATCAGAGTTTAATTTTTTTTTCTACAAAATGGCATTAATTTCTTAGGAATGTAAGGAATGTAGGAGCTTTCTGCTGACAGATAGAATAAACAGTGTTACTGAGTCTTTGCTGATGCCCATTACTGCTTGTATTAATACGTATTAGCATCTTCTCCACCTATTCTTTATCCATCACAAAGACATATCTTAAAACAAGTGGTCCTCTTGGTGTATTTACATATGTGTGCTAACAACCCTGTGCTGTAGGCACACGGTTTAGCAGAAGGAGGAGCTCTTTACTAGTCACTTGGGATTACATTAGTGCACCATCCGGTGGCTGAACTGTGTGTTAATAAGCCTGGAAAAATGAACAACTGGCTCTCCAAATGGGCCCCGAGTATTTTCAACAGAATTTTAAAGAAAATTATGTATTCCGAGGTAATGCACATGAATGGAACTCTTCATTATCCAAAAATCCTGGCTAGAGTAAATTTAAAACATTTCACTGATATTATATGAATAGTGTTTCACAGAGAAATCTAGTAAGACTTGATGATGTTTTTTGTACCATATTCAGCATATTTCTTGTAGAATTCACATCTTGTAAGTTTTGCATTCATAACAGTAAAGGTGATATTAAATTGTAACTCATTTCTGGCTCCAAGTCTTCCACAAATTGTGCAGGTCTAGGCTGATTCATTAGAATGTCAGAGATCAAACTCAAATTACTGATTTATAATCAGGTATCATGGTGAAAGTAATCACTTTTGATTCATCGATATATATATATTTTAATTACACATGTGACAGTTCTGTGTATTTTCTGGCTCATATTGGACAGAGATTTGCTGTAAAAAGATATTTAGAACATCGAAACCAGGAGTTGGACTCTATGATCCTTGTGGGTCCCTATCTCAGGTTATCCTATGATCCTTGGCTGAGTTTAGAGATGCACTTCACACTTAAAGTTTGTTGGACCAGGTGAAAATGGTCACATTTACAGAAAAGTGAATGGCTTTGTCTCTATGATTGAGGCATTGAGGAAAGAACTGCAGAGGATTTATGATAAAAGAAGTAACATTTCTATGAAGTGGGCTGGAAAGCTTTTTCCATTTCTCTTTTGTGGCTTGGAATTATGACAAGAGACACTTGTCAGTGCTTAAAGAGAGATGAGGACACAAACACAGACTTACCACAGGGTCCATCTCTTACTCTCACATTGTCCAGTGCTGTATCTGCATATTCTGTCAGTCCTCGGACAGCCTCAAAAATGACCTAGGCAGGATGCAAAGTGAATTGCTGCATCAGTTGTTCAGGCATATGTGAGAGAATTTCCCTCAAAATGTTTTCAGAATTCTCTTTCTGGTCTAATTTTAAGGGCATTCGGGGAACTAATAGTAGAACAGTTTTCCTAGTGTTCTTCAGAATTAAAATATATAATATGTAATAGGGCAAGGACATAAAGAAAGACTGTCCTCTATCATTTATTTATTTCTTTGTTTGTTGGCTGCTTACTGACTTCTAAAAATTGTCTGGGTTGTACAGAGCAGTCCAGTGTAGGGAGCATCCCAAAGCTTAAACCTAAACTCACAGAAGAATAACATGTAGAAGTCTTCTGCAGAAAAAGTGAGCCTAACGTCCTTGACATCATGATAAAACGAGGGAAGGAGGGAATGTGGAAGGAAAGAAAGATGAATCAAATATAATTTATCTCCTAGCTAACCTCAGGGAGTTGTTTGGTTTTTTTTCTCTTAGTTTATTTACACAAAGCACAATGGCATTATAATTACAAAATATAAACCAAGAAAATCTTGGTCATCATTTCTAGCTTGCATGTACAACATTTTACAGCCTGCAAAGAGAGAGCAAATTGTAAATGCTGACATTGTACAAATAAATTTATTCTGAAAATATGTTACCTTTATCTTTCTCTGTGTTGGAAAAGTATGTGTGACAGCACCATAAATCCAAGAGGAACTTTGGTTTCCCTTCCGACTCCATGCTGTAAACTCCCCTGTGCTGTCTTGGATAAGCACTCTCAGCTCATTTCTGTCTTCTGACCCAAACATATAGTACCAGAAGTCTACGCATATTTTTTCAGAAGCCACAATATCTGGGCTCTCAAGCCTGTTAGTGTCAAATGGGATCAGATTACTTGCTTCTTGGTAGATGAAGTAGCCTTCTGCAGAGTGAAAAAATAAAAAATGTCTGAATCTTTCTGACTTGTTAGGTGTCACTTAAAACTGAAGCGCATCTCAACTCTGGAAGAAATCAAGCACATCATTAGCAGTACAAAGAAGCAAAGTAGCAAATGATTGAAATTTTCACTGCAACAGTTAACACCTGTGTAGTTAGCTAAAGTACAGTAAGAACTGGAGAGCAAAGCAAATATATCCTATCTCACATGGACAGTTAGTTTGGGATTGCAAATGAAGATGGAGGCTTCTTTCAAGAGATAGCATGTCCAGACACAGTGCCCAACTTATCCTTGTTCAGTTTCCACTTTCCTCCAAGAAAAATAATGTGCATCTACTATACACTTCTTCTTGCAAGATATGGTCTAACGATAAACAAATTTTTGACATAAGGAAAATTCCAACCCCTCAATATTTGGTTTTGTCTCAAAGCAGGAGGGTTATTTACATTGAAATGTGAGGCTTGACATTATCAAAAGGAATCGATCTTTTCAAAATTCAGAATCTCACAATATTTGCTTTTGGGATTTAAATACTTTACTTTTAACTTGTTAATTGTTAGATCACGTTTTCCTTTACTAAGGCTGGAGCTTTTTGCTTCCTATCACCTCTCTGCACCAAGATGAAAGCACTGTATTTTGTCAGTGCAGTTATGTCAAATCTCTCCCATCTGACTATGGAAAGGAGTGAAAAAGAAATGACCATTTCTACATTAAAAAGCATTACTCCGCACATAGTATCTAATATTTAGTCTACTTTTTTAAGGCTTTATTAATAATAAGCAAATGTAAGTAGCACTTGAAGTTATATGAACCATGCCAATTGAAAAAATATACATGTAATAAGTGACCTTTCCCATCATGGGATAATTACTGAAAACAGAATGGCTACAGATTGATCTCCTATAAAAGAAGCTTCTAATTTCTGACTGTAATTTCCAATCTTGTAATGCTTTGCTAGCATGAACATTATCTAGTGTCAGTACAGCGATCGTTACATGTCTTGGCATCAGCTGATATCACTGTAATTTGATGATAAAACTTCTCTGAGTAATGATCTGTTGAATGTGACTGCATCCTCGGTGAGGTATTACACAAGAGGTAGTTAGCATTATTCTACTTTCTTTTACTGCACTGATAAATATTTCCAACCTATGATGGGGCAAGCCAGTTTAATCTTGTGACTGAACATGGTGAAAAGTTGAAGACAGATATCACCCAAACTGACACATTTCAAAGGATTTAATTGATCTCTTCATGAAAAAGAAAGAGGAAAGGTAGTCAGGCTATATTCAAAATGAAGTATACACTGACATCAACAAGCACTTACTTCCATCAGGATAGTCTCCATCAGGACCTGTTCCATCCGTTGGAGTCTCATGTTTTGTTCGTATCCACATTCCCTGGTTCACAGTGCAAGGTTGGGTCCAGTCACAAAATGGTCTTGAGTTGTTGTTAAAATCACATCTAGTGAGGTAAGCTGAAACACAGAGCAAGGAAAGTAAGGAAAAGGAGACACTATATTCAAAACCTGCCTTGGACATTAACAGCACTATGAGCAGTTACCTGTTTCAGGATCCCATGTTCTCACACCACCAGTTGGTCTTTGTTTGATCCTGCCAAGAAAAATGACACAGTGAAATCCCTACAGATTTAGTGACACAAAAATTTTGTAAGTGTTGGGACTAACAGAGGTCATCAGGTGTTCTTACTGAATTACTGCCCAGAATCAGGGCCTCATCTGTGTCTGTCTCCTTCCCTTCCCATCTGTCCTTACTGCTTCATTAAGAAGTTCTGAGAGCTAGAAAAAGGTGTGATATGTTCACCTCATCTGAGTGAAGTAGGATCCTCTCTCTGTATCCCTCTGAAATGAAGGGAGACCAGCTAGGCACGGGGAGCTACAGGAAGGATGGCAAGGTACAGCAAAGTTTGGACAATACCAGAATTACACAAAAGACTTGTTATGAAACTTGTTTGTAGCATTGGCATCCTCACTGCTGCTAAGCAAGGTATGTAAGTGCCAGTAAACTGGTATGTCACAGAACTGTTATTTATCAGAAGGCTTATGTTTCCTTTAACCACTACAGATATCTCATAACCACAAACTATCATCTCATTCAGTTTTTCCTCTAAGTTATCCTAAAAATGCTACAGGGCAACAGCAGTTAGAAATACATATAGTCCTTGCAGTGCTACAAAGCCTGCAGAGGTGAGATGACATAAAACCAAAGCTTTGTCACAGATCACAAGAAAGATGCTCTGTTCACTGGGTGTTTTGCATCAGAAAGGAATTTCCAGGACTGCAAGACTACAATAGCTGCTTTTGACATGTTCTGATGGTGGTCTACAGCTTTATGAGGCAGGGTTTAGTTCCCACTTCTGTGTTGCCCACCATCCCTATTGTCCTTCTTGTACGTGACACAGTATAATCTGTCCTTAAGCAAAGCCAGCACAGCAGATGTCCCCACAACCCATCAAAATCTAAGCAGAGGTATTCAGAAATACTAGAGAGATTCATAGTGTCATATACAAACAGTATCTACTTCATCACTGAAACACACCAAGCAACTGGAAAACAGACAGAGCTGAAGCTAAGGAGGAGAGAGGTGTGAAGATAGGTGAAGTAAGAACATTTTCTTCTTTCCCTACATGGCAGCTGTAACAAGTTGCCATTTAATCTCTGTTCCATGCCATCTTTAAACCGCTACATATCAGAGTCCTAAGGCAAAGTTTACTGTAGATATACTTAGAAAGTCAGAAGCGTTTGATAACGGCAGCAGATCTCCCCTTTGGATCTGCCACTAGAAACGTACAGGTTACACATTCTTTCACAGTAACCACCACAGAATTTGGCAACAACAAAACTCAACTGTTTCCTCTTTTTACAAATGGCATGGTTTAATCATACAGCATTCCTGCATAAAATGCTAAGAAAGGACATTTATAATTAACAGTAACTAAGTTTCTTGAACTAAGGTACATTCAGCATTGTGCTACTTACCCTGCGGTATTCAGCACTGAAATACAGAATAAAATTAAAATGCATTGTAAGTGCCAGAGGGTCCCCATGCTAGAAGACAGTCAAGTCTTCTGTGTGGTACAGTCTACATAGTAATCCACGAGCTGTACTCAGCAACAGCGAGGACGATTTACAGTGCAAGAGAAGAATATATTGACTGAAGGGTGGAGGCGACTGTAAAACCTCTGTTCAGCTCTGTTTGGCTGGGCTGCCTGGGTAATCTACCTGAAGAAAAGTACATATTAACAGAAAGCTCATATTCTGCATGAGTTATTTTTACACCCTTCATTGTCTACTGGAGAAAACTATTTGATTCTTGAAATGTTTATTGCTACTCCTGTATATTTAAAATGTTTGTATTTTCATAGAGAATACTTCTCGTGCTGATAGCAAGATAACATCAGTCATTTTAAAACTCCTGTCCAGTTTTCATTTCTAGTGTTGGTGTTCTTTTGTTCACTGATTTTTCTCCCTTCTGTTAGTTGTAAGCAGAGAAAAGGCAGGTTGGTTGTTTCCTCTGCCAGCTGGGCCTATGCAGACCAGCGTCCCTTCTACTAGGGTCTGTAAGAAATGGCTTGAGGGCTGTTACATTTCCTATGTCAGCTAGATTTTGAGTGATAAGAAACGAAGGAAAATCAGAACATGTACAGTATTCCCTTACATTGCCTTCAAAACCCTGACTACTGCTTTTTTTTCCTCTTTTTTTCCCTCATTTTTTTTCCTTATTATTTATTTATTTATTTGTTTATTTTAATCTAAAAGGAATATTTCTCTGGAAGTAAGGATTTCTTACTGTAATTCTGAGGATTAAGATCATTAAGGCCTCATTATTTAAATGCCTAGAACTTCCTCAATCCCATTGCCTTTAGTCAGCACAAAATACTTTCATTTGTCATTAAGGTATAACTGAGGAAGTGCTTACAGAAACAGGAAAAAAAGGAAGAATCAAGGAGGCTGAGCAAGACCATAAATATATTAGAGGTTAGTTTCCCTTTCCTGAGGCTGTATTCTGCTACAAGCTCTTGACCTACAGGACCCCTTAAAAGCCATCAGATGGATATAGTTGATGTTCACTTGACAGGTAAGCCTCCCTCTGCAAAGAAAATCTCCCTTGAAAATGCATGCATTTTTACCAGTCAGTACACAAGAATGAGCATTTCTGTGACTTAGAGATAGAGGACATTTACTCCCTGAATAAAACCATTGCCCACAATTTTCCTATTCGGTTGAGGAGACCTCAGTGTGAGGGGGAGAATATAAGCAACCTTCAATTAAAAGTTGCATCGAGCACATTGTGTTTACAGCAAGGCTGCTGAGATGTCAGTCCAGCAAGTGGTAATCCAGGCAATAGATGTCCTTGGAACTGTAATGAGTAGCCTTCCCTGAATGCCCGTGCTTTTCTAGTGCAGACATTTTATGGATTCCTCATGAATCTGATGTTGCACTGTATGATTCTGAGAAGATCTGAGTCCACCTGCAAACAGCCACACAGGTTTTCCTGGTGAGGAGATACTGCCCACCTTGCAAAGAAATCAACAACTGGTAAATCTGTCCATTCTAATGATGCAATATCTTTGAGCCCTCCTCACCCATGGCAAGTATGAGACATTGAACACCATGAACACTCCTATCAAAAGAACAAGTCATGCTTTCCAGCAGTGCTGGGTGGCGATTTCCATCACCTTGTCACTTCTGTTTAATGCCAGCTGAGGTACTCTGACTGGCGACCTGGAGTACTGATAGTAGGGTCTTTTCAGCAAGGGACAAATACTACTATAAAAGTCTACTTTAATATATGGAGAAAATTCCAGTGGGATGTGAAGCTATCTTGCATTCCTGATCACGTTGCAGCATGCTATTTCTCATCTACGCCTGAATGCTACATATCCCTGAAAGGCATCTGTTTATTTGTCTAAAAATACTGGTCCGGACTGCACACCAATCTGTAGAAGTGGAGCAGCAGTTTTTCATTTCTAGTACAATGAACAAAATGTTTCCCCTTTGCAGCCAGCACTAGAAATTCCCCTCCATTCTGCCTGTTGACAAGGCAGACACTGGCTACTCACGGGAACTGCTTTCAAGTGACACAAGCAGATTTCCAACATAAAATCTTCAGGAGGTGAAAACAGTAGGGCTTTTCAATGGACAATGTGAGCTGTAACATCCTCAAAAGAACAAAGATATACCGTATACAACTTTATTTCTGGCTGATGGGACTCTTAAGGAGACTATTATTTATTTTTTTCATAATAAAGCTCTGTTCCCTTGGAGACAGAATTAGCTTGATATTCCAGCAAAGGGACAGCAGAATGAAGATAACCAAAAGAGAAAATTGTCTCCAGCCAGGAAAAGCATCCCTGGTCAACTTGAGTTCCATGTGTGCCTTTGTTTTTCTGATCCCAGCTCTACGCATCCATACAGTATTCCTATACTGTTCCTGCTTCCACTGCCTGCACCTTTCCTTCTTACACCTCAGTTTGACTGGCAGGCCCTTGCCCAGCCATGCCAATTTTCTGCTTTCCCTGTTTGATTTCTTATACATGAAAATGGAGAGCTCTTGTATTCTATGAAAGGTGTCCTTATAGAGTTTATAGAGCTCTGTTATTTTCCTCTGTCCCTAAGAGCAGTTTCCAGGGAACTCCATGCACCAATTCTTTAAACAGCTGGAAACTCTCTCTTCTGAAGTTCAGGGTCCTGACTTTGATCTTTGCCAGCTTTGTATTCCTCAAGATCATGAACTCAACCAAGGTGTGGCTGCTACAGCCAGACTGCCTCTGATCTTAACCTCTTTGATGTGTTCAACTGCATTTGTCAGAACTGGGTCCAGTAACGCTTCTCCTCTAATTGCTTTTTCTAACACATGGACAGGAAGTTGCCTGCAACATATGTCAGGAGTCTCCTGGATTACTTACAGTCCAGTGAATCTTTTTCCCAGCAAACATCCAGGTTGCTGAAGCCCTACATCAGGGTGAGTGAATGGGAACATGATGTAGCTGAAACAAGAAGGCCTCATCAGCAATTTGCAAATATATAATAAACATGTTTATTTGATTTTCAGGCACTATAAATAAATCTGTAAAGCCTAATAAGAAATAATTACATCAATTTTAATTGAAATGGTACAAATCAAGTAGATACAGTTTGAGTAGCAATAATACAACTGATATAATTTCAGTAGAAGGATCTATCTTTCACTTCACTCTTTGTTTCAATTCAGGCAGTAATAAAGTTCTTCCTCTGCCCTAACGAAAGTATGAGTCAGATTTTGTAGCATGCAAGACCTCTGTCACAGTTTCTGGAATTCCCAGTGCCCTCTGCTTTGCCTTTATTGATGCTGTGTATGAGAAGGCACTGTCAGACCTCTGGTTCCTTCAGAAAGTT